AATTTTGGTAAATAGCATATTTACTAAAAAGCATAGGTGCCTTTACACTATGGTAAAGTTTATTATACTGTATATGTTGTAGTACTTACAACTCCTTGTTAATAAATGCTCCACACACTGTAGTATAAACTATAGTAAACCAATAAACTGTGATAATACTGTAGTATACTTAATATTTACTACAGTAAACACCCAGAAGTTGTAGAAAAGCACAGTATTGGTTGTTGTGTTACCATAGCAACTGTAGAATCACAACAACAGATGAATTACAGTAATTGTTGTGTTGCCATAGCAACTAGAAAAACACCACAACAGATCAATAACTATAAGTGTTGTGTTACCATAGCAACTGCAAAATCACCACCACAGATCAATTACTGTAGTTGATGTGTTACCATAGCAACTGAAGAATCACCACAACAGATCAGTTACAGTAATTGTTGTGTTACCATAGCAATTACAGAATCCCTGCAAAAGATCAATTACTATAGCTGATGTTACCATAGCAACTGTAGAATCATCACAACAGATCAATTACTATAGCTGATGTTACCATAGCAACTGTAGAATCACCACAGCAGATCATTTCAAGTACTTCACTCAGTATGCTTTAAAAACACTCTAGTATGAACTTTAGATGACTTTAACTTACAGTTTTTCTCTCTCCTGCAGGTGACACGGTGTTTGTGGTGTTGCGTAAGCAGCGCCTGATCTTCCTGCACTGGTATCATCACATCACGGTCCTGCTGTACTCCTGGTTCTCATATAAGGACCACGTGGCCGGCGGCGGCTGGTTCATGAGCATGAACTTCACCGTCCACGCGTTCATGTACTCCTACTACACAGCCAAAGCAGCCGGCGTGCGTGTGCCCAGAGCCTTCGCCATGCTCATCACCGTCCTGCAGATCTCGCAGATGGCGGCTGGTCTGACCGTCCTGGGTCTCGTCTACAGCTGGAAACACGAGCAACACTGCAAATCCACCGACAACAACATCATCTTCGGATCCGCCATGTACTTCAGCTACCTGCTGCTCTTCTGTGCCTTCTTCTACCAGTCCTACATCAGACGCTCAGACGGAGGACAGCAGAGGAGACCCAAGAGAGACTGAGAGGAGACACTGCCCTCGTATTTGTTCATGCTCACACACTGGAAAAATGCACACACACTGCTTCTTCATGATGTTCCCATACAAACCCGTTAAATTATCTTCATCAGTTTTACACATGTAAGTGGATTGAACATATTAAGTTGCAAATTAAATGCATTTTAAATAAGTCATTTTTGAGTGCGTATTTGTTCAGATGTCTGCATTAAAGCAGGGAATGCTAAACGTTTCAGTCCACGACACCTAAAGTAACAATAGGATTTAAGCGTGGCAAGTGTGTGTGTGTGTGTGTGTGTGAGAGAGAGAGAGAGAGACTCTTTAAAGTTTGATAAGACAGAGCTTGGTGTGTGTATAGCTGGTCTTTCTGGTTAGGGTTTATCTGGTTAACTGTCAGCTATGTGATTTTCTTTTCATAGAGACAGTAATGCTGAAACACCTGATGGACCACACACACACACACACACACACACACACACACACACACACACACGCACACACACACACTCGTTCTGCCATCTCCAAGGTAGGGATTCTTTGTAATAAAATTGATAGTAATTCTTCTTGTGGTGCTATCACATTATACGCTTCATATTNTAAGATCTACTCTTATTATAGAACTTTACCAAGATCAACAATGGAGAATGAATGAGTAGTATGGTAATATACCCAGCAGGCACACAACGTCATAAGACGATAATATTAGGTTAGATTTAGGTCCTGGCTTTTCCAGAGATGGATTGCGGCTGTAAGGACATCCCCTGCGTAAAAACGGGCTGATAAGTTGGCGGTTCATTCTGCTGTGGCGAACCCCGGATTAATAAAAGCCAAAAAAAAAATTAATGGGGTGAGGCAGTAGGTAGTGCTGTCGCCTCAAAGCAAGAAGGTCGCTGGTTCGAACTTCGGCTTAGTTGGTGTTTCTGTGTGGAGTTTGCATGTTCTCCCTGTGTTCGTGTGGGTTCCCTCGGGGTGCTCCGGTTTCCCCCACAGTCCAAACACACGCGGTCCAGGTGAATTGGGTAGGCTAAATTGTCCGCAGTGTATAAGTGTGTGTGTGTGTGGATGTTTCCCAGAGATGGGTTGCAGCTGGAAGGGCATCCGCTGGTAAAAACTTGCTGGATAAGTTGGCGGTTTATTCCACTGTGGCGACCCCGGATTAATAAAGGGACTAAGCCGACAAGAAAATGAATGAATGAATTATTATTAAGCAATAACACTATTACCCTCAAGTGATTATAAACATTAATGACTTCCTTTATTCTGTTAAACACGAAAGAAGATATTTAGAAGAATGCTGAAAACCTGTAACCACTGACTTTCATAGTAAGACAAACAAATATAATGGCAGTCAATGGTTACAGGTTTCCAGCTTCCATTAAAAATATCTGCTGTAGTGTTTAACCGAAGAAACAAACCCATAAAGGATGGAAACAAGTCAACTGGGAGTCATTTTTCATTCATTCATTCATTCATTTTCTTGTCGGCTTAGTCTCTTTATTAATCCGGGGTCGCCACAGCGGAATGAACCGCCAACTTATCCAGCAAGTTTTTACGCAGCGGATGCCCTTCCAGCTGCAACCCATCTCTGGGAAACATCCACACACACATTTATACACACTCATACACTACGGACAATTTAGCCTACTCAATTCACCTGTACCGCATGTGTTTGGACTGTGGGGGAAACCGGAGCACCCGGAGGAAACCCACGCGAAGGCAGGGAGAACATGCAAACTCCACACAGAAACACCAACTGAGCCGAGGCTCAAACCAGCGACCTTCTTGCTGTGAGGCGACAGCACTACCTACTACGCCACTGCCTCGCCCAGAGTATTTTTTAATACTGTTGAATTGAGTCCTCTTTCTGTAAAGACATGAACTGCTCAGAAATATTACAAAAAATAAACCAAATTCTAGTTTTAAACTATTTTAAAAAGCTAAATAAAATGATTTTGCCCACAAATATCCTCTGATATGGTTTATGTTTGATCTCACCCTCAGTCCTCTCCTCTGGATCTCAGACACACACTTCTGGATGATGAGCGGCACTCGCAGCGCAGTGCTCTCCTTCTCCACCAGGGGGCGCAGCTCCACACCGAACACCGCCGGCGGAGGCAGGTCTCCGGGGCGCGGGAACGGGCTCACAAACTGCTCCAGCAGGGTCAGCTTCACATACAGCAGACCGCGGGGCTCCAGACGCACGCACAGATGCTGACTGCGACACGCTGCCGACACCCAGAGTAAAGAGAAACAGCATCAACACATGACAGAACCGACAACGCTAATACTAGCATCTAACAAACTTTATTTTAATTTTATGAGATGCTTGGGAAGTGGAATAACTGAGCATTTAGCCTCATTCCTCAGATAAACAAGTGCCCACCACTTAGAAAGATCCTAGAATATCTGCAAACATGTGATGGAGCAGCAGCTGTGATTCCCTCACCTTTGAATAGAGCCGGAATGGCGACCGCACCCACACAGCACACTCTGTTGCGTGCGGGAGCACTGCTAGCATTAGCAGTCGCCGGCGTCAAAATCACCAGCTTGAGCAGCCGTGCCCGCTCCAGCTCCAGATTGAAGGTGTGGTTGAGAGGAAGACACGCCCCCCGACAGGTGAGCAGGGAGGTGCGGGCGCGGGTCACTCCGTCCACCTGAATGGCACAGAAGACTTCTTTGCTAGCCTTATTAGCTCTGAGCAGCTCCTCCACGCCTAGCAGATGCACCGTTAGCAGGCCTGACAGTCTCTGAGCGCAGCGCGGCTGATCCGCCAGCGAATACAAGCGGAAAGACTCCGCGTCCGCCACCGAGAGCGACTCCTGAGGCGTCGGTGACCCTTTGGGCAGCAGCTCAGGCGAGTCTCCGTCACTCAGATATCCTCCTTTACTGGCCGAGCGGGAGGATCTGCGTGTGGGCCGAGCGGGAGCGCTGGAGTCCAGGTGATATCTGCTGATCACGTTGGAGGACTCCTTGCGTGTGTTTGTAGGCGAGGCGTCGTCTGATGGTGTGTGTGTGCTGCTGGCGCTCGCTCCGTGACGCTGCTGGTTCCGGGACGAGCGCAGGCTCAGCTTACGCCGTAGCTCCGGCAGTTTCTTCATCTTCATTGAGAGCCGACGCACCGTCCCTGGAGATTTGATCCGGTCCATCACACTGCTGCTGCTTTCTGCTGGAGCTTTCTTCTGTGTGCCGGGACTGTCTGAGACCGCGGCGCTGATGGAGTCCGAGGGCAGCACCAGATCTAACACAACAACAAAAACACAGAAGAGTTGGGAATTAGAGAAAAGCGCACGCTCATAAACACTGATAGGTAGAGGTCTGCACGGGACTGTTTTTTAAGTCCCGCTCCCGCCAGGTTTTATTCCGCACCTGACTGCTCCCGCTGCATATTCAGCCTTTGTTCGCCCACTTAGAATAATTTTTAATCCGACCCGACCGTTCCCGCTACATTTAGATCTGATTTCCAAAATCTCACGTTAAAATTGGGTACTACCAGGGCTTTACATTAACACCCGCCAACCCGCCAAATGCAGGTAGATTTCAGCTCTGGCGGGTTAGACAGACACCTCCACTAGCCACTTTAGCTGGTTGGAAATCTCCAGGGTTGGACAATAAGCATGGCCCAATATTCGGGCAAATGTGATCTTAGAATCGAGAAGCAGCACGACTGACAAAAATAACTATGTGCGCGCAGGCAAAACAGCAAAAAAGAAAGTAAATATCGAACGAGAGGATGATCACTCGCGCAAAGGGGATGTGATGTGATGCGCGCGACTGTTATAAAGCACACGCACTCCCGTTACCATCGCAAACCAACCATGCCTAAAGGAAGCGCAACTGGTTCCCTTTAAAATAGACTGGACAAAGATCGATGATCGTTCATCCACAGACAGTCCTGCTGCTTTCCAGAGCTCAAGATAAAAAATACATGTTGTTTTGTAAGCAGCAGTGGTCACTGCTTTCATTTTAATTATTCTTTGAACAGATTATTAAAAGGCCTGTATTAACCAACCCAAGCTTATTCTGGAAACGTAGCCCCGCGGACGTTTCTGGAGACCGCGATTTACGTGGCTGGAGGTACGTAAAGGCCGCGTTTGGTTTTTTTCGAGCGAACGCTGCGGGGCGGTGTGGCGCCGCTCCACCCCTCCTCTTCGCGCTCGCCGGCCGACGGCTCGCCTGCGAGTGGAGGGCTTGGAGGAGGAGCCGGAACCGGCCGCGGTGGACGACGACCGGAATCGAGTCTGGGGAACAGCAGGTTCCGGAAATCAGGTAAGACGAAAAACGTAATCCGAAAAATAAGGGCGAGAACGCGGCGGGATCCGAAAACGCGGTAGAAATCGAAGATGAGGGCTTTTGCTTTTTTTTCTGGACGGCTTTTGCGAACCGTCGCTCGGGTTTAGGAAAGGAGGAGGAGGAAGAGGAGGGCGGCCGAGTCGGCCGATCCGGCAGCTTTTCGTGTGAGAACGGCGCGAGCGCGAACGGCGCACGCTCCCGAGAGGCGCCCGAGACGCAAAAAAGCGCGCACAGCGGCCTCTCGCGGATCCCCGAAAACAAAAAACGCTCAAATACGTACCTCCCGTCCGCGGGGCTACATTTCCACAATGAGCCCGGGTTGGTATTAACCGTGCGCACGTGATCATACTTTCATTATCAAACACAGTATGTTTCACCTGCTTTCTTTCGCTTACAGTTATTTTTGTCACAGTGGCGTAATTATACTTTATTTTACAATAACATTGCTTTATTGTGGGATTACTCCTCGCGTATGTGTAGTTAACAGATGATCTGGGACTTTTAGCCAGGACAGATTTCTGTGCATCTTCTAGATACATGACAATAATGATTTTTTTATATGTAATGTTTTTAAAGAGAAGTTTTGTTGAATTTTTTGTGCACCTATTCAGCTGTATTTCCCTTGTTTTGACACATTAAAAATTGAGAAGAAATACTTATTTAGTGTGATCAGAGATAAATTTGATAAATCCTTAATTTTGAGCCCTGAAAAGTCATGTGAAATGAAAACTGATTGCATTGCGACACACACCATTTGCTCATGCACACCGAGCAAGCTAATACACAACACAGACAAGAAGTTAAACCTAAAGCAAGTCATTTTAGCATGCCAAAGTCAAATTTATGCATATAAAATATATTTTCCCAACAAGAAAAGTGTGGCTAGTGAAACTGGCGAGTGGCTAGTATTGTTGGAAATCTACGAGCCACAGTGGCTGGTGATCAAAAAAGTTAATGTCAAGCCCTGAGTACTGCCAGAAGAGAGTGATAACAGATAAAGCTACAGGTTGTGCAAGGATTGTGGGCTTAATGTCCGTGTTGTTTGCCCCTTTGTGATGAGACATGAGTGCCGCCTTAAACCTGAGTTTGACTGCTAAAGGGTAAAACTTTAAGATGTCATCACATCACTCAAAGGGTCATTTTACTCCATTTGTGTCTATGGGTGCTTTCACATCTGTAGTTCGCTTCATTTGGTTCGGACCAAGGGCAATTAGGGCTGGGCGATTTAGCAAAAATAATAAATCTAGGTTTTTTATAAAGTTTGACCGATTCACGGTTTTGATTTAGATGTTTTTTTATTGTGTCACTAGTCTTCTCAAAACATTACAGCAACATGACTGAAGTAACACTCTCTTTAAAAGTAACTTGAAACATCATCTGCTTAAGGAGCATTGTGTTTTAATGGCCATGTCATATAAAAATCAGTCAAGGTGTAAATAAATGTAAAACAAACACACGAGTTAAATAGCGTACCAGAAGATTTGAATAAGAAATATTTGTGTAAATATTGCACTTGCAGGAATACAGAGGGATTGTTTGCAAGTTTTGCTGAGTCTAGGAAAGATTGGCTGTCAGCTCGGCTTTGGCTTTGTCTTCTGATTGAATGTCAGGTTGTAAAGCTGCTGAACATGGAAACTGTAAAGCCTAATTTAACCCAATGTGTGAAGTTGTGGACGTATAGCAGGAGCAAATACAAGCACCAGATGTGTGTCTAATAGAAAATAATATTTTTATTATTAATATTAATATTTTTTGTTATGCTTTGAAATACAACATTTGAATAGCACTGGTGTCAGTTCTAACACTGTTATACCGTCATAAAAACAATTCACTTAAATAGGAGACAAGTATTAAATAATAAACATGATTTATTTAATGCCTACAAATGAGTATGCGTGATTGTCATGACGGGACAGTGTGCAGGAGACAGGTGAGGGAAGATTTTGAGTCACGCACCAAGTCATCTGCAGTGTGTGTGTGTGTGTAAATAAGAGAGCATGCTGTCTGTGTGTTGCTTGGTGCTCTCTCTCTCTATGTGTGTGTGTGTGTGTGTATGAATGAGAGAGAGAGAGAGACACACACACACACACACACACACACAGCATCAACGTGGATGCGCGCATGTTCGTTTGCTCGGAAGCGATATTGTAAGACAACGCGCCTGCTCCCTTTTAAGTTACCGACCGCTCCCGCGCTTTTTTTGGAAACACACACGCACACACACACACACAATGACAGAGAAAGAGATAGAGAGCACGTGGTGCTGTGCATCTCTCTCTCTCGCTCTGTGTGTGTGTGTGTGTGTGTGTGAGAGAGTGTGGTGCTGTGCATCTTTCTAGCGCTCTCTGTGCGTGTGTGTGTGTGTGTGTGTGTGTGTGTGTGTGTGTGTGTGTGTGTGTGTGTGTGTGTGTGTCCCACGCAGATCTCTAATACGAACAGATGACCGAGAACCTCAGGTCGTCTTACGTCATATTTTTTTTATTATGCACGGTAATACCGGATACCGGGGTAAAATAGAGAGGAGGTTTGACGGCATCAAAATTTGGATTCCGCCCAAGCCTACACTGCAGTGATGTTATATAGTTATAAAATACAATATATTAACATTTTAATGGAGAAAAACACAACATGAGTGTATTACGGAGCATAACTGCAGCATACGGGCTCTTATATGCAGTTGTGTCATCACTCATATTGCATGTCATATCTCTCCGGCCCCTCATGTGGGATGCTTTTCATGACAAACTAATGGAATATCCCTGCTATACTCCATATGAAGTTTGTTTTGCACTGCAGCAGTTAAAGTGAAATAGGCCAGTGAATGTGAAGAGCAGAGCAGTGTTGATGAGTCTGCCACTGCAGCTGTAAGTGTGTGACCAACTCTTACATAATGGAAAACCTGAGCGTACCCAAACTATCCGCCCCGCTGACGTCAGCCTCGCCTTGGATGCCAGGTCCACTCAAACCCCCTGTTTTTTTACTCGTCTCCCTTTCCTCCTTTGCAAACCCTTCGATCTCTCTCTTCCTCCACGGGTCTCCGTATCCCTCCTGACCGGCTCCGACACCAGGCCGCACGTCGTCCTCTTCAGGAATGGGGTTGTACCAAATATTCCCCTCTCTCTCCGGGCCCTGCCGCCACTCTGTTATCCTGGTTGGAAGGGTTTCATCTGGAGTCTGTGGTTTTCCAGTGGACAAAACCCAGGCCCGACTGCTCCGGTCTAAATGCTGAAGATACGCACCCTGGCCGGAGATCTTCGCCGAGCTTGAAGACACACACACATCCATGTAGGTTGTAGATGGAGGCGTCAGCTCTGGTAAACCTGCAGTAGACACATGCAGATGTTCAATCATTTCATATACAGATTAAATCAGACATATTAGCCCTCCTGCATATTTTATACCCAGTTTAGCATAGTAAAACCAAATATTGCAATGTCATCCGAAAAACAAAGTGTGATCTAACCTGCATCAACAGCAGTCCGGGAATAACCAAACTCTAACTCCAGATCATTCCTCTTCCTCTTCAGGCCATCCTCACTCAGCGTCCGTTGGCTCCAGGCCTGTTTATCGGCCTTTTCAGAGCACAGATCCCAGTCTGGAGGCCCGTACACCAGGCTGGAGCACGGGTCTGGCTCTCGGCACGCTGTGGGAAGTTTGGCCCAGTTCTGTTTTTTGGAAACGGTGATCTGCGAGCGTCGGGTTTGGTCCTCCGCGGAGCCGCTCTCCGTCTCGGTGGACGATGGCGTTTGGAAGAGATCCACTTTCCCGGTCACATCTACAGCAGAGGAAAGAAAGCAGCCATCATTAGCACAGCTGGAGTTTCTGGCCTTATTTGGTGCTGCAGTGTCCAACATGAAGAATGGATCTCTGCAGAGCTGCAACACTCGGAAATAGCAAATGCTCAAAGTGAAACGGGCGGCTGTTAACCTTTACACGCTTTAATTCCTCCCTGAAACAACATTTCTGGGTTCAGTTTACAGTGACGGATCTGGAGAGAGAGAAGGAGTATGACTGGGAATCATTTAACCCCTTTACTGTCAGTCAATAAAGCATACAGCAATATCCATGCTGTCATCCACCTATATCAGGGAGCTTTCACATCTGTAGTTCGCTTCATTTGGTCTGGACCAAGCGCAATAAATGATACATTGATGCATCTTCTGCCGTCTTTGGGTTGTTTTCACACCACACTGCTGGCTTTGGTCCGAATCAGTAGAAACGAACCAAAATGCAGTCTTCTGACAAAATCCACATCTCTCATTGGCCAGATGTTGTTGAACATATTTCCTAAACTGCTTATTGATTGGTCAGAATTCACGTGCAGGAAAATGTCAGTGAACTCCCGCAGGTAAACAAAACCTTTTACTATGGAGGGACGACTGCGCTGGCTGAGTGCATTCCTGCTTTAGATAAACTCTACATTATGAAAATGAAGCGCGGCCGCGGCTGGAAAACAGTGTTTAATGCATCGCTCGTCACTTCAGGAGGAGCCGTGAATTAATTTAGCTGCAACATGGTCATCTTGCGGAAATATTACCAACGATCCATCAGCTAATGTTCCCCCTCTCTCTCTGTCTCTGTTGGTAAAGCGCTGTCAACAAATATTTTTCCTCCATATCCCATAATGCACAGCGCATCAGCCTACGGCAACTGAATTAGTCCAAAGGGTGCAGCACTTTTTGCGTTTGGTTCTGTTTTAGTACGGATCATATTCTCATCACAAACAAACCGCTCCAGGGTTCGTTTGAAAGCGTAGCGAAACCTCCTCTTCAAGCAGGTCTCTGTACACTTATTTGATCCGCTTTTGGTGCGCACTCGAGTACGATTGCTGCATTCTCACCTGCCCAAACCAACCGTACCAAAAGAGGAAACCAACTCTAGTGCCATTCAACCCAACTAAATAAGGCAGGTGTGAAAGCACCATAAATGTGCATTTTGGATTTATCATAATGCTTAACGGCATTAAGATGTTTGTACATTTGGAAAATGTGCATAAAAAGATGCATTTGCATAACTGGGATAAACTTTATCTGATAGGAAAATACTGTGCATAAGCTATGATGAAAACAGATGCAGTGAGTAAAGTCTGAGCATCAGTCTGCATGATGGGATGGATCAGATATAAATGTGCATGTCTGGATGCATTACTGCACATGTCCAGCACATTATAATCATCTCAAATGTTGTTTTGGGTTGGAAATAGCAACTAGTAAAAGTGAAACGGGCGGCTGTTCACCTTTACACGCTTTAATTCCTCCCTGAAACAACATTTCTGGGATGATTTTGCAGTGACGTATTTGGAGAGAGAGGAGAAGTGAAGAAGGAGCACGAGTGGGAATCATTTTAACCTCTTTACTGTTGCTCAATAGAGCATACAGCAATATCCATGCTGCCATCCAACTATATTAATGTGCATTTTGGATTTATTATAATGCTTAACGGTATTAAGATGTGCGTACATTTAGAAAATGTGCATAAAAAGATGCATTTGCATAACTGGGATAAACTTTATCGGATAGGAAAATACTGTGCATGGGCTATGATGAAAACAGATGCAGTAAAGTCTGAGCATTAGTGTGATGTGGTTTTTGACAGAGGATAATCAGATATAAATAAGCATGATTGGATGCATTACTGCACATGTCCAGCACATTGTAGATCATCTCAAATGTTGTTTTGGGTTGGAAATAGTAAAAGTGAAACGGGCGGCTGTTAACCTTTACACGCTTTAATTCCTCCCTGAAACAACATTTCTGGGTTCAGTTTACAGTGACGGATCTGGAGAAAGAGAATGAGCATGACTGGGAATCATTTAACCCCTTTACTGTCGGTCAACAAAGCATACAGCAATATCCATGCTGTCATCCACCTATTTTAATGTGCATTTTGGATTTGCATATTGTATTAATACTGCTTAACTGCATTAAGATGTGCACACATTTGGAAAATGCGCATTAAAAAGACACATGTACATAGCTGAGTAAGATAAACTATCCAATAAGAAAAAAGAGTGCATAAGCAACAAGTCAAGACATGAGGAAAGTGTGCACGTGCACATCATCAGTCTGCATCATGAGGTTTAGTGTTATCAGATGATGATCAGATGTAAATGTGCATGAATGAATGCATTAATGGAGTTTTCCAGCACATTGTAAATCATCTCAAATGTTGTTTCGAGTCAGAATTAGTACATTGGCATAAGTAAAACAGTCGGCTGTTAACCTTTACACAGTTGAATTCCTCTATTAAACAACTCTTCAGGCATGAGTTTACAGTGACTTGGAGAGAGAAGAAGCAGTGAAGAGAGAGCAAAGACTGGGAATTATTTCATTATTTTACTGTCGGTCTTTCTTATTGAACATAGATGTGAAAATAACATGTTTGGCTTAAATGATTGCCAATCCTCAAAGCGTTGCTGATTATATTTAAGCTTGCATTCATTATGAAGAAGACTCTTGTCAGGTTGTAGCTTGGGTAAAACAGTACAGTTAAATGTAGCCAGAGTTATGTGCCTTTAAGTTTAGTAAAATAATACAACTATAAATGTAGATTTTTATTATTTTACAAAACCTGAAAAAAGCAACAAAAACTTAAACGATAGTCCAAATTTGAAGTTGACATCTCGAAAGATGAGATTTCAGTAGGCTTTAGTTTGGGTGCAGTACCACAGACCACCACCAGGTGACCATATAAGAGCGCCCCCTCTGAGTCTCGAGGGATATTTTCATACTTTTGATAATATTTGTAAAGTAGATTCAAATATTTTTAGCCATCATACTTACATGTTCAGACAGAAGAGATGATATCTTTTGATATTTTACTCATTTTTGGGGAATTACATGTCATATTTTACTTTACTACAAAGTAGAGCTGGGTGATACAGCAGAAGATGCTATCTTTATCATTAATTTCCATATTAAACGATAATGATGTATATTTTAAGTTGTTAATGCTTCCAGATTTGTAAGAGCACCCCAACAATGACTGCAGCCACAAAAATTAGAGGCTCCATTAAATGGCATAACATATTTTCGGCTGATAAATTGTTGGTGGCCAAAAATTCAGCACATCTCTAATATCAACACACTTCTAGATTCCCAGAGTTGCACATTTCTGCTGTGTGGTTGGCTCTTAGATCAATATAGAGTGAATAAATCCAGAGCTAATCAGTGTTATTGACATATTTGATATAATATTGTTTATCAGCCCAGCTCTACTACAAAGTAATGCTTTAAGACTCTGATGAGTGCACTTAAAAATGAATAAATAACATCAGTGATGTCTACCAAAAGTCTTGAAATTTTAATTAGAACTTTTTAAATTATATATAATAATTGCTTGTCGACACTGCTACAATAGCATGACTTAATAATGCGAGTGCACACAGGGTGTAGAGTGAGAGTAAATACAGTATATGTTGATATAGTCCTCTTCCAATGCAATAAATATATAGTGCACAAATATGTATTCAGGTCTCATGCCAGGGGTGTCCAAACTCAGTCCTGG